AACTTCACTCATTCATTCATGCGACAGGTGCCCAGGTCCACCAGTTATGTCCCTTCTGAAGATATGTACCTCCATTGTAGCTTTTTATATGTTGGGCTTAAATTCAACACCAACTACTGACGATCATCCCCCCTATCCATGCTACCCAGTGTTCACCAGCTAACCTGTCCTCAGATGCCATAGCACTTATGTCACATAATGCTCATAGTTCCTATGCTGCTAATGTTCATAGTTTCCCTGTGGTAGATTTTCAGTTATTAGCTATCACCGGGCACCAACCCTTCCTCATGTGTCACAGTATGTCCCATAGTACCCGTCCCGTTGCTGTAGACACCAGAATAGTCAGTTCGATCAATTTTGAATGATAATTGTAATTTTCCATTCCCACTTATAGTGTCCTCACCTAGTTGTGCTTGCTGGGGTTGAGCTCTGGCTCTTTGGTGCAGCCTCTCAACTGTCAATCAACTGGTGCACAGATTCCTGAACCTACTGGGCTCCATATCTACATTTTGAAACTGTGTATGGAGTCAGTCTCCACCACATCATTACCTAATGTATTCCATCTGTTAACTACTGACACTGGGAAAATGTTCTTTCTAACATCCGTGTGGCTCATTTGAGTACTAAGTTTCCACCTGTGTCCCCTTGTTTGTGTCCTACCAGTGCTATACAGTTTATCTTCATCTGCCCTGTCAATTCCTCTGAGAATTTTATAGGTAGTGGTCATGTCTCCCCTAACTTTTCTGTCTTCCAGTGTTGTGAGGTTCAGTTCCAGTATCAAAAGTAAAAAAAATCAAATCCAAATGTTTATTCAGGTAAAAGTGCATACATAGACAATGAGTTACAAACATAATGTTGGATTTATAGAGCTAGTACATACAATACCTAAAGCCACTAATACACACAGCATTTCTGGCAAGGTTTAGGGAAAAACACTTAGACTAAAGCTTAATACTAATTGTGATTAAAGTATAAATTGTGTAGAAGAAAGGGGGGAGGAGGAACATGGCAGAAATCGGCAATTTTACAACTTGGTCAACAAACAGTATTGTTTGAAAATAGCAAGACATGGGTTGATATTTAGGGGGTAAGGTAGGTTACATGGAGTTAATAAGGCAGTACTTAGTTTTCCTCTTAAACTGGTTGAGAGAGGTACAGCCTTTGACATGATTGGGAAGGTCATTCCACATTCTGGGTCCCTTGATTTGTAGAGCATTTCTAGTTTGGTTAAGATGCACTCTTGGCATATCAAATAAGTACTTGTTTCTGGTGAGGTGCCTATGGGTTCTGTTACAATCTTTCTTTAATCCTTAAAGAAAGTAATCTTTCTTCGTAGCTCATAGCTCTCTGTTCGTGGACTAGCCTGGTGGCATACCTCTCAACCTTTTCTAAGTTCGTTTTGTGTTCAGATGTTGACTCCACACCGGAGCCGCATATGCCAGTATTGGTCTGACATATGAGGTATACAAGGTTCTGAATGATTCCTTACACAAGTTTCTTAAGGAGAAATTTGCGAAATATTTTCCATCCTATTCGAATATCGTTGATCAGCTACACCCTATTGAAGGGAAGGGTCGTAGTTTAGTTCTGAGAAATCATAGTAGTTCTCTGTAAATTATAATACTTATTCCATGAATTATTGTGTCAAATATTTAAATTGGCGCAAAATTATAATACTATAGAGCATACCTTATTGTATATAAACAAATTAAAGGAAATAGATTGTACATTATGAATTATAGAAAATGCATAAGGTAGAGTACACAACACTACCCCCCTCCCCCCAGGTTTTGAAATTGAATTAAGTTTATCAAGGTAAAATACACACAAAGGGATGAGGTAGCTCCAGCTATTCTCACCCCGTTCAGTACAACACCTTCCCCAGGCGGTAGTGTACCTTTCCAACTTCCCCCTCTTGTTGCGTCCCTTTACCCTTGTTCCTCTGTACTGGAACTAGTGAAGTGAATGGTGGAAAACTACCATTATTTCAGATTTTCCTTGGCGAATTGAAGGTTGGCTTAAGTAGTGCGCATAATGCTGTGTGGCACTATAGCAGACCCAAACTGGCCTGTGACACACCTCTACCCCACTTGTATCATGCGAGAGGCTAGCCCTTAACGTCTGGCCTTCAACCTTCAACTAGGGATTGAACCCCACACCTCATACAGAAGACACTTTAGCATTTCAGTAGATTTGTATCATTCATGATTTCAATATACTGTATATGAAAAAAAAAGAATTACCAAAGCACTCAATTTGTTATACTGTTGGTGCATCCTGGGAATGGTCAGTAATTCGACTTTGTGAAATACAGAGAACAGAGGATGGCACGGAGACCTTGTGGGACTGAGCACAGAGGACGGCACGGAGACCTTGTGGGACTGAGCACAGAGACCTTGTAGGACTGAGCACGGAGACCTTGTGGGACTGAGCAGAGGATGGCACGGAGACCTTGTGGGACTGAGCACAGAGGACGGCACGGAGACCTTGTGGGACTGAGCACAGAGACCTTGTAGGACTGAGCACGGAGACCTTGTGGGACTGAGCAGAGGATGGCACGGAGACCTTGTGGGACTGAGCACAGGACAGCAAGGAGACCTTGTAGGACTGTGCATGGAGACCTTGTGAGACAGAGGACGGCACGGAGACCTTGTGGGACTGAGCACAGAGGATGGCACGGAGACCTTGTGGGACTGAGCACAGAGGACGGCATGGAGACCTTGTGGGACTGGGCACAGAGGACGGCACGGAGACCTTGTGGGACTGAGCACAGAGGACAGCACGGAGACCTTGTGGGACTGAGCACAGAGGACGGCAAGGAGACCTTGTGGGACTGAGCACGGAGACCTTGTGGGATTGAGCACAGGATGGCACGGACACCTTGTGGGACTGAGCACAGGACGGCACGGACACCTTGTGGGACTGAGCACAGGATGGCACGGAGACCATGTAGGACTGAGCACGGAGACCTTGTGGGACTGAGCACAGAGGATGGCACGGAGACCTTGTGGGACTGAGCACAGAGGACGGCACGGAGACCTTGTGGGACTGGGCACAGAGGATGGCATGGAAACCTTGTAGGACTGAGCACAGAGACCTTGTGGGACTGAGCACAGAGGACGGCAAGGAGACCTTGTGGGATTGAGCACAGGACGGCACGGAGACCTTGTGGGACTGAGCACAGAGGATGGCACAGAGACCATGTAGGACTGAGCACGGAGACCTTGTGGGATTGAGCACAGAGGATGGTACGGAGATGATGTGGGACTGAGCACAGAGATCTTGTGGGACTGAGCACAGTGGACGGCACGGAGACCGTGTGGGGCTGAGCACTGAGGACTGCACGGAGACCTTGTGGGACTGAGCAGAGGATGGTACGGAGACCTTGTGGGGACTGAGCACAGAGGACGGCAAGGAGACCTTGTGGGACTGAGCACAGCATGGAGACCTCGTGTGACTGAGCACAGCACGGAGACCTCGTGTGACTGAGCACAGCACGGAGACCTCGTGGGACTGAGCACAGAGGATGGCACGGAGACCTTGTGGGACTGAGCACAGAGGACGGCACGGAGACCTCGTAGGACTGAGCACAGTGGACGGCATGGAGACCTTGTGGGACTGAACACATGATTTAGCTAAAGTTGGAGAAGCCTATGCTCGTAGGGAGGGACCCCCTCATGTCTGATGTCTGCACTTTTCTCGTTGCTGCAGTTTCTGGTTTCCTTTACCAATTCTTCCAATGTTTTTCTCTCTGGACACATGCATAATTGGTGTATTGCATATCCTTCTTGCATTTTTCTATTGTATGACACCTCGTCCACTGCAGGCATGTTCTGGCCAGGTCAGACTAGGCTGCCAAGTTACTTAGTTTTTGACGTGTTTTATTTTTTACATCCATTTAACTTGAATACAATACACAGAAAAATCACATTATCGTGATGTGCCAATGAACAAATCCACAAGAGCCATGATGAGGGCTCGAACGCTGAGTGTTCCTAGGCTCGCTCTAGTCAAATGCCATGACATGGTCAAAGGAATTGCAACCTGGGTACACCTGCACCCACTAGGATTCCCGAGGCTTTCACTGAAGCCGAAACGGGTTTTCAAACAACTCCCCCATGCACTTGGGCTATATCAGTGGTTCTACCTCTGATGCCCCTCTTTCAATACACTGTGTATTGAAAGAGGGGCATCAGAGATAGAACTAGTGCATGGTGGAATTGTGTGAAACCCTGGTTCGGCTCAGTGGAAGCCTCGAGAATCCTAGTGGGTCCAGGTGTACCCCAGGTGGGCACGGCTCCTGTGGATTTGTTAAATACATTTCAATTTTTAATTATATTTAAAATTTTTAACATGGAATGCGTGATCAGGGAGAGGCAGAGAAACAAGAATTGCATAATTTTACGTATTTCTCTGAAATGGTAAGCAAAAGGCTAAATTAAATAGTGTTTTTGGTAAATAAAATTATCAGTTCTTATTCTAGTAACTTTTATTAATATTCAAGCATTGCCTAATCTCTTTTAAATGACCATTTTAACATTAAACTGTAATCTGCATTTGAAAGATAAGAGGCAATGAAAGTTTCTGTAACGAAACAGTATAATTGCAAATATTTTTAACATATGTTTTAGACATGAATTTTCTTTGTATAACAGGAAATAAATCAGGTAAATTTTAAGCCACTAGCTGAATATCGAGAGTTGTATAGCCAATCTATGCAGTACGCAGAATGATGTGTACCCCAGAGTCTGTGTCTACTATTTGACTCAACTCTCCAACTTTAAGGGCAAATGCAGCATCTTCAAATGGTTTTTGCATTGCACCTCTTCCAAACAGCCCAAGATCACCTCCACGCTTAGCCGAGCTGCAATCCGATACCTGTAGACAAAAATTTCTTTAAGAAATTTTCAGTGCGGACAGATTTTATATACTGTATAGGAATAGAATTATTGTGATGTATAACAACAACACTAGTACCCTAACAGTTATGAATAAAATATTTGCTCTAAAATAAAATTATTTACTGTGTTATTATCAACCCCTTACACTGGCATTTTGGGGAAAATGGGCTCTCTCTCCTGCAGCTATTTTGACAAAATTCATGAACTCAAATTACTCAGAGAAAAATTATGAGTTTGGGAAACAAATATTCTGGCTGTGGTAAACCATGTAATGTGAATTTACCCAAATGTGTTTCAAGAAAATAAAAAGTACGCTTCTTTAATAGTGGTGGGGGGGGGGCCATTGATCTCAAGCTTGAATATTAGAAGACAACATACTGTACAATACCACTAAAAAGTGAACATCACAATCTTGAGGACAAAATGACAGTTTGACTTAACAAGACAACTGAACCCTGAAATAAGGAGAGATGCATCTCCCTAGCCACAAACATTACGAAAGGAATATAGCCTTCCACTGCCAAATAAATGCATGACGCTCACCAACCTGACAACCAGAGGCAAGTTACACAGGATTACTTGGAAAAACATCAGAGTAGCTAACAATAGTGTGAAAGGCATGAAAAATGGAAAAGGCATTTCATAACGGGGTATAAGCCTCCTCTGTGTGGGTCAGGGCCTTGGCACAGTTTCCCAAGTGAGACCCTCCATGGAAGAAAGGCAGGAATAATGACTGGGAAAAATTACAAACCAGCAGAAAATCTTGTTAACAGACCATCCTTGTTGTAAAAGAAAAGGAGAGAGAACAGGGCTCACCAAAGGGGTAGTAGTGAAAGTATGGAACAAACTGAAAATGGTGAGTTATGGCCTAGAACACCGGTTTCAACACAAGCTCTGGATAGGTGGATAAACAAAAGACGAGATACAAACTCCTTATGATGTAGAGTACCAGGATGATGGAAGGCCAAGGGCGAGGCAGATGAATGCACAGGGCAACCATAGTCTAGTTTAGACAGCACAGGTTAGTAAATAGAAGATCATGTGCCTTTCAGCCCCCAAAAGTATGGAACAAGACTAAGGTAAGGAGACTACTCTTCTCCTTTTTCTTTGTCTTCCCATTATAATTTCCTGCTGCAGTGCAAGCTGTTGGAGTAGAAACTTAGAATAGAGCCTTTTGCTTTACTATCCTCATCCTCTCACTCCAGATAAAACCTATAGTAAAAGTGTGTTGTCTCTTTATCAGTAGATGCCACATGTCACAGATCAATAAGCCTACTGGCATCTATCTTTCCCATGTTCATTCAATTTGTCAATTTCTCACCATACTATGCACATTGCTAATTCTTACCACAATGCTGCTACTGTAAGAATCTTGGTCACTAAATCCTGTAAATGAATAATTTTCCACAAGTTTTATTTTGTAAAGGAACATGAGAAGTCATTTCAAGATTCTTAGATGGACCAAACAGTGGCAGTGTGCTGTGGCTAGCGCTTTGAACATCTTTAACAGCATTGTTTCACTGATATCTCAACATTGTACACAGTCTTTATCACAGTCAGGCTCTTCTGTAATACTATCATTGCTAAATAATAGCAGTTACATATATATTTTGACATTTTTAGGTAATGCTGTGGTCATAAGCTGAACAGCAGTGCTGTTAGCTTATGCTGTGCGCGCCAGCCTTGGTTGCTCACTCAGTACTTAGGCCGTCACACCCAGGAATGTTACCCACGATTTTTTTTTAATGGCGTCTGTTTACTAAAGCCCTGAGAAAGCTGATGCGAACCCTGTGTAGCTGCGGAACTTTTAAATCGCGCGGTACAGTACAGTACATTAAAATGTATATACAGTATATGATGTGTGCCATTATTCCACTTATACCAAAATCATATACAGTATATACAACTTGTGCAGTTTAAGGGTTAAACTTTACGACTTACTTTCTTTGGACCCATAGCGTCATATATTATAAGAATTTTTATGTTAAGCAACAAAGAGCATAAAATATGATGACTTTTTCATAAAATTCCAATGCGTTATCATTAGGCAGGACACAAGCGTAAACTGATTTTACCGGTTCAGACAAGTATGAACACTCATCGTAATCTGGAGCGACTGTCGTACACCAGGGCATATTTTCCAACAAAATTTTCATTGTATATCAAAAAATTTGTATTCAGGTGCAATCGTACACAGAGGTTCCACTAATTGCCTTCTGCTAAATATTGCCAAATGGATAAACTTACCTTTGCAATAACTTATCCTAATCAAGAAAACTATGCACATTAGAAAGAATAGAAAAAAACAGTAAAAATGATGTGTGATTAGAGTATATTCCTCTTACCCTGCTAGCCAGCTCAGCAAATGATGACTGTCCTGATGTAATTTCTTGACGATAGTCTGTAATATGAAAAAAAAATTAAAATGTTTTCTTTTCATGTTGCGCTAAAATTTTTTTAACTTTGAAGTAAATTTTTTTTTTTGGGGTGGGGGGGAGGGAAGGGACTATAAAAACATAATTTTGCCAATCCAATTATAATTATTCAAGCCATTTAGCATGTCTTGAATAAATTTCCAATATCAATGGCCTTTAGTTTATGAAAATGTTAAGACAGAATCATGTTTTGAGTGAATAACATTAAATAATAAATACAAATAATAACAATTAATAATAATACAGTATTATTATTATAATTAAGTCCGAACCCAGGATGGAACCAACTGGGACTTCTGCCAAGTTACCAGGAACCCGAACCTGGCAAGCTGGGAAAGAACCAGAACCCCAGCTAGCAGACAAGCAGACTGGCAGGGAGCCCATACCAACCAGTTGACGAGGTAGGGTGCCAGCCAGGAAGACACCAGAACCTCGGAATGTAACCGAGTAGTGGACAAGAAACCGAACTCAGACATAACCGGATCCAACACAAAGGTGTAAACCAGGTCTTGCAGGAGGTATGCACCAAGGGCCTCCCGAACCTCCGCACGGGTACACCGAGAGGAAGAAAACCTCTGAAATGACAAATTTAAGAAACCTGCAGGGAAAAGCCATTCCTACCATACTTCCCAGCGGATAAGACACAAAAGGTGTAATAAAAATGTTATGTGTTTGGATAAAAATGAGTCCCACGTCTAAAACGGCCGTGATACTGACAGGATACTGAGCAGCGTAAGGATACTGAGCAGCATAAGCTAGGGAGCAAGACGAGCAAACTGGGCAATGTCGCTAGGCACAAAATTGTTGTCAATAATAATAAAGAAAAGCCAAGGACCCCACAGTCTGTGAACACAAAACCGAGGTAATACTACACAGAAGTACAACAGTCTCGTACACAAGACAAGACTGCCCCAGGAACACAAGACCGTGAGACAAGACCACCACCCACAATTCCTCAGGGGAACGGATAGGGTAGAAAAAGATGAATGAATCAATACGATTGGTACACCCAGAATGGGACACAGGTGGAAGCCAAGTACCCAAAGGAGCCACAGAATATCAGAAAGAACTTGTCCAGAGATAGAGTAGTAAGGAAAGGGAATGAAGGAGGCAGGGAAGTGGTGGAGGCTGACACCCTACATAAGACCACACAAATTTTTTTTTTCCCCAGTACAATACATGCAAGCTGATGGGTGCGTCCGACGCAAGGGTGCATCCGATGCAAGGGTGCGTAAATCATGCCGCCAAACACGAAAATACTAAATCGGAAAGGGAAGGAGAGGATGAAAACCTCCTCCCCTACAGTAACACCACCAGCCCAGAGAACACAAGGGCCCAAGCAGGCTCAAAAGGAGCCCAAGAGCGAGAAGTAGACTCCCCCCCGAGCAGAGGCAGAGTCCTGATCCACGCCCACCATCTCTGAAGAAAAGGTGGCATCCAGGGAAAAAGCTTCCAATAAGAAAGTCTGCTGGATTGACTCAAAAGCCCAGGAGAAAAAATTGGGCCAACCACCTCCGTGCTCGAATCGGAAGGGGTAGCCCCCAAAGCAAGATCCCCAAGATTAACAGAAAAGGAATGAGGAACTTGAAGGTCAAGTGGAGAACAAGGCCCGCAACTCTGGGTCGTAGGTGTCACCGACCCAACAGGCAGCATGACATAGGCAGTACGGAAGATCGTCTCCCTGAGGCAGGGGCGACCAACAACCTTCAACTTCGCACTAGGTGAGAGAGGACTGAAGATGCATCTATGATACCCCTAAGCTCACTGGGGTTTTCCAGGGCCAGTAGAGTGAGTAAGCTCTATGGAAAGCCCAGGCACTGGGCTAGCTAAGCCGGTAGAACCCTGTCTGTCAGCAGGCAAACTGATCACCAGTAGTAGCCGTGAAACCTCTGGGGCAACAGAGGAGGCCCACCAACACAACCTAGGCTTGCCTAATAAGAAGCTAGGCAGACCTCTTCCGGTAACAAAATGGGAAAACGCTAGAAAAGAAAAAACAAAAATCTCAGAGAAAGATAAGAGCAAGGCAAAAGGTACGGAAGGTAAGGTGTAAAGGGTGTAATAATAGAAGTAAGAATGGGAATATATGAGAAAACAAGATAAAGAAAAAGAAAGAGAAAAGGAAGGGGTAGGCTTATGTAAGGTCACGTTTGTTAGAAAGTTTAGAACATTTAAGTATGTACTGTGAAAGGGAAGAATCAACAGCAACAAAGCCAGGACTAAGATTCATGTTGGGTAGGTTGTTTATCAGAGCCAATTCGATAAGATTATTTAGAGGAAGACCAATCAATAGGATGATTAGAATCCCTAACTTGACAGAAGAGAGCACTGTTTGTGTCTGCAGACTTAACACTTCTTTTGTGTTCTTTGAATCTGTCATTAAGTGTATGGCCAGTTTCACCAAAATAGTGGAGAGGACAAGATGAACAGGAAATAGAGTAGACACCAGCAGCATTAGAAGCAGGAGAAGCAGTGTGAACTAGATTGCTATGAAGAGTGTTAGTTTGTCAAAAGGCGATTTTTATGTCAAGAGGACGAAAGGTGTTGGTAAAAGTTTAGAGTTCAGATACAAAGGGAAGGCAGAGCACAGTTTTAATAGTGTTGAAGCAGGTTTTTGTCTTCACATCAGGCACTGAAACTACCTAGTCAAGTGCAAGAATAAAAGACCTTGTGTTTTAAATTATATTCTGAAATAAAAGGCTGAAATTTCTGGGTAACAAACAATCCTTACCCTCTAAAAGGCTTATTGCTTCTTCCTTAGAAATAGAAATATTTTCTTGGCGCCACGAAGAAGGTCTGCGGGATCCTGCATGCTTCACCAGCAGATGGGAGCATTGCACTCGGTCAGGACCCCCAGTGGTGCTCCCTCCTGCTGGCTTGGCAGGCTCCGTTGGTGCATCCCACTGACTTTCTTTGGTATACACATTCAAATAGTAAGTCTGGCCTGAAATAATAGTGCCAAGAATTAGTTCAAGTGTCACATTGAACAAAAGATAATAGAAACAGACTTTCATGGTTACGTAATTCTATAAATTTCAGGGATGTATGTTTACATGTACATAATGACATAATGAATGGTTATTATTACCAATATTTTACACACTGAAAGGTTTTTTAGAACCAAAGCTATGGAAACACAAAAATAAAAAGCATTGTCAAGTTTCAAATGAAGAGCCTAGGTGAGAAGTGTTGCAACTTGGTAATGAATACTAGTGTTGGGAGGACCGAGTGCCATACCTGTCCAACACTACCTTAGTGTCCTTCCAAATCCAAAAATTTGCAAGAACATGAGCAATAAATAATGTAAATTTATATTATCTTATTTTTACCATACAGCTTTTAATCAAGGTATTTAAAACACACTGTGAAATTTGCATAATTCAAAATAACAAATAATTACTCAAGAACAGAAACCAACTATGAAATAAAATAATCATTTAAATGATATGGTAAGTGTACAACAATACTATGCTGTGTAAAGTACAGTGTTTATATTGACCTCTACACTATATAGGACATGGCATTTTCCATTCACCCTCCCCCCCCCCTCCCAATTATGATTATGTCTATATCACACAGTACTTTCAGGTACCAAAATGCAAGAATTTCCAGAATAAATACAGTACAGTAAACATTCACTCTGTGTAAGTTTGAAGAATGCGAGTTTGGAGTTGCACTAATTTATTAGCATTAAAATTAAAACTGCACAGTCCTTAAATACAATGCTGCTATGACCTCACAATTATGCATTTTATTCACTTCTTGGATCATGGCGTGCCGTGATTCCTTCATCACGGCACCTCCCATACAATCTCTGGTTTATTGTGCACTGCTCCGTATTTGTGGGTGGAAAATGGCAAGAACATTTAATAATACTGTTAGGATTGAAGGTATTTTGAAAGATTAATAACAGTAGTACCTCTGTTTTCTAATTTAATCCATTCCCAGACATGGCTCAAAAAACGAAAATTCTAAAACCGAACAAATTTTCCCATAAGAAATACTGTACTGTAAATTGAATTAATCTGTTCCAAACCCAAAAATATTAACAAAAATACATTTTATATAGAATATTACTCACGTTTCATACACAAAGCAATCGGGTATAAAAATAAACCATAAATAAAATAAGTGAACATTTAACTGCACTTTACCTTTACTGAGGACTCTTATTGGTGTATGGAAGATGGTGAGGAGGGAGAGAGAGGAGCGGTGTTGGTGTATGGGGAGGATGAGGAGGGAGGAGGAAGCGAGACCGTTCCCTTCTCGCCTTAAAACGCTTTAATATCTGCATCACTGGTTCCAGATTTTCCTTTCACACATGCACACATTTCACTGCCTCTGTTATGTGGCAGCCAGTCAGAACCATTCCATTACAGTCACATGTCAGCCAAGCATTCACAGTCAAGACCAGTTACAAGCAGTCACAATCAAAGGCAGTCAAGCATTTACAGTTGTAGCAACCGGTTAGGCATTTATGGACAGTCACGCATTCACAGTCAATCAGGCATTCACAGTCAATCAGGTTTTCACAGTCAGTAAACAATAAGATTTTACATCAGCAAATTGTAAGTTATAGAGGAGGCAGACCTCCCCCCCCCCCTGGGTTGCAGCCCCTAAACCCCATGCCTTAATCCAGGCATGCTGTTGCCTTCTTGCATGCATTACGTCTGACCTCTTAAAGAAATGGTCTTGTTTGTTCAGCATTTTAAAAAGTTTCAATGAGATCAGCCTTATCATGTCTGGTTTGCAGTGTTGTTAGTCCTCGGGTAAAATCTAGTACAGTACGTAATGTTAATTCAGCTCCAGAGTTCATTGTCTTTTGTAAGTTATCGGCCAGTGTATGGGCATCTGACGCAAAATACACGCCATATCATACATAAGACAGTGTCAACGAATTTTAAAATCTGCTTAACCCAACACATGAACAACATACCCAACCCAACCCCTACCAAACCGAGCGAAAGTTGATAAATCCTAACCTAATGATTATGCGGTTTTGACAATTGGAAAACGAGCTTTATCAAACCGTATTGTGTACAATTAGACCATGCCTCATGGTTCGCGAGTATTGGGCTCCGAAATGCTAACTAGGCTAAACAAAAATTGTAGTTCATCATAGGCTAACAAATGGCCTTCTAATTACTGCAGAGCCTCAATGCAATAATTTTCTTAATTATAAGAATACAGTATTGGGATTCAGTTCCAGAGTTCATTATGCCTCTAACCTTTCCACCACCATATCCAGCATGGGTATGGGTAACCTTTCCACTCCCACCCACCCCAAACTCCCAGCATGGGTATGGGGGTACTTAACATAATAATTAAAGTTAACAACACAAATTCAGTAGGGAAGATTGCCTGGGGGAAGGAAAAAAAAAAGATTGTTTACATAGCCAATATTCTCACATTACTTTCAAAGAAACGTGAAAATACTCCTTAAAGAAGAGAGATGAGTTACAGTCAGTCTCGAAGCTCTGGCTTAAAATTGTGTTGTTAATACTATTGCAATTATAACAAAATACATCACGGACATTTAAATATACATTACCTAGTAGGTTACACTAATTCAACGGCGAATTAAGGAGAAACTAAAGTAATGTGACCCCCAGTAATGATGTATATGAGAAAGATATAATGCTACGGGAACATAAACGAGGAGCGGCTGGGAGTCACCCTGAGGATTACTAAGTCCTTCACGGCTCCTCACACACGCTCACTGTGCCTCACAGTACCTCACTCACACACTCACAGCAGCTCTCACACACTCAAGGAAGGCAGGAGGTGAGGATAGGAGTACCTGTGGAGCGGCTGACCCGCTTCTCCCAGCCTGAGGGCAGCTCGGCGTCACCCATGGTGGAGGAGCACTGCTGTGAGGCTGATGGTGCTGCTGCTGCTGCTGGGTGGTGTATTGACCGTCACCCCGGCCCCTCCCTCATGCTCCCCCCTCATGTGCCCTCCACCCGTCTCTCATACTCCCTCCCTCATGCCCCCCCCCCCTCATGTGCCCTCCACCCGTCTCTCATACTCCCTCCCTCATGCTCCCCCCCTCATGTGCCCTCCACCGTCTCTCATACTCCCTCCCTCATGTGCCCTCCACCCGTCTCTCATACTCCCTCCCTCATGTGCCCTCCACCCGTCTCTCATACTCCCTCCCTCATGTGCCCTCCACCCGTCTCTCATACTCCCTCCCTCATGCTCCCCCCCCCTCATGTGCCCTCCACCCGTCTCTTATACTCCCTCCCTCATGTGCCCTCCACCCGTCTCTCATACTCCCTCCCTCATGTGCCCTCCACCCGTCTCTCATACTCCCTCCCTCATGTGCCCTCCACCCGTCTCTCATACTCCCTCCCTCATTATCCCCCCCCTCATGTGCCCTCCCTCCCTTATGCCCCCCCTCATCTTCCCTCCATCCGTCTCTTATACTGTCTCCCTCATGTGCCCTCCACCCGTCTCTCATACTCCCTCCCTCATGCTCCCCCCTCATCTTCTCTCCATCCGTCTCCCTCATGCTCCCCCCTCATGTGCCCTCCACCCGTCCCTTATACTCCCTCCCTCATGCTCCCCCCTCATGTGTCCTCCACCCGTCTCTTATACTCCCTCCCTCATGTGCCCTCCACCCGTCTCTTATACTCCCTCCCTCATCTTCCCTCCACCCGTCTCTTATACTGTCTCCCTCATGCTCCCCCTCATGTGCCCTCCACCCGTCTCTTATACTCCCTCTCATGCTCCCCCCCCCCTCATCTTCCCTCTACCCGTCTCTTATGCTGCTTCCCTCCCTCCAGCTCCCCCCTCATCTTCCCTCCACCCGTCTCTTATGCTGCTTCCCTCCCTCCAGCTCCCCCCTCATCTTCCCTCCACCCGTCTCTTATGATGCTTCCCTCCCTCCAGCTCCCCCTCATCTTCCCTCCGTCATGATCCCTCCACTTGTCTCTTAAGCTGTCTCACTTCCTCCAGACTTAACATCTCCAGGACATGTTAAGCATTGGCTTCTAGATTTTTTTTTTTAATTTTACCCCGAGGGGCGAGTTTATTGGGCAGCGCCACTCATCTTGTAAGTGGACATACCGCCATAGCAGCATGTACAACACTCCCTAATAGGAAGAAAACCCGCTGGGTTGTTCATCCTGTCACTTGTACCCAGACACAGCTGGGACTTGCTTAACTGTCTCAAGTGAACAGCTCCTCAAACAAGAAGATTAACATCTATCAACCCTTAAAAGCTTACGTTATCTTGCGGGTGCAAAATGGGGAAATCTTTTAAGAACAGTATCAATATTTGACAAATAGTGTTTTCCTAACTCAAACAATGTGGGGTTTATTATTCTACACATACTTCTGATGTCTCTCAGGTTTTCACATTCACGTAGATAGTGGTCAAGGCGGTATCCATCACTCTCACCAGATTCTGCAACTTCGCTGATCAACTGTTGTTTCCATTCCATATCTCCATGGATATTTGTATCCAAGACGGATTCTCGCTATTACTGATTCTCTCCCTCGTCCTCCTCCTCTTCGGCCATAATGATTGGGATTGCCAGCTGCAACCATGTTGTACCATCGTACAGATTCACTGGTTTGTGCTTCTATCCTCCTTTCCTCGGTTACCTTGTCACGGTGATGTTGCCTGACAATACCTCTAATTTGTAGTAGAGTCTTGGGTATGAAGTATTCAATATGGTCTCCTTCAGCGCCTTCAGCAGCCAGCACATCTGCTCGTTCATTCCCACATATTCCAACATAGGAGGGAATCCACAGAAACTTGATGACTCTTCCCTGATTGGTAAGTACTCTCACAGCTCTCTTAATTTTAGCGACTATTGCAAGATTTTCTGCCCGATTTTTACTTAGGCTTTGCAGTGCTGCTTTTGAATCGGTGCAAATCACTGCACCATTAGTGTTCCGTTCAAGAAACCTTAACGCCATAACAATGGCAGTTAGCTCTGCTTGCGTTGAAGAGGCATAGTTCTCAATACGTGCTTTTTCTTCATTTCTGCGTTGGAAAGTATTATCCTTGATTACCGTGTATGCTGCACCAGCCCTTCCATTAACAGGATTAGATGACCCGTCAGTGTAGATTTGATCTAGTTCATCTCCGGCTTCTTTATAAATTTCGTCGAGATACTTGTGCCTCATTTCTTGTGGTAACATGTTGGATTTTTTCATTGCCATTTCATTGATCTTGCATGAGTCATCCTCCCAGGGAGGTAATCTCTCTACAGGCAGGAGCTCACGGGCTTGCTCAAGCAGGTGAAGCTCTTCGAGGTAACAGACTGATCTGTGATGCCATTTTTTGCTTCTCCTGTTTTCCCCTGAAAGTAGCACAGAGCTCAGTTTTTTTCTTAGCAATATCATTGTAATGGGGATCTCTGGCTATCCTAATTGCAAGCTTAGCATTCAGCTCCTTAATTCTGCTTTTAACACTGGGAAGGGACAACTCCTCTCGTAGATTAGACGTTTTGGCAGTTCTTGGAACTCCAAGAATGATTGTCATGGCTTCATTTTGAATGCTTTCAAGCCTTTTCATATCGCTTTGGGAGTAGGTGCACAGAACTGGTGCGGTATAGTCTATGACGGAGCGCACATAGGCTGTGTACATCATTTTAAGCACGGCAATAGAGGCTCCATGTCCATTCCAGGTCATAGCTTTCAGTGCCCTGAGTCGACTTTTGTATGTTCCTATGAGTTGATTGAGCTCCTCTTTCTTCCCCTTGTTAGAGCCGACAGTGACGCCAAGGTACCGATAGTGGTCAACCCATTCAAGTGTTACACCATTAATTTGCAATTCTTCATTTGCTCTCCGCGTGTGATGGGAGTATGCCTTCGTCTTGTTTGTGGAGAGAGTGAAACCGAGCTCAATACATTTCCTTCCAAGGAGTTCAATGGACTGTTCAGTTTTTCCCAAGGTGGGAGCTTGTATTAGGACATCATCTGCATATCCTACTTGTTGTGTTCCTTCCGGAAAATCAATATTTGCAATGGCGTTCATAAGTACATTGAATAGTGTAGGGCTTAAGACTCCGCCTTAGGGGGATCCCGAGTTCCATATTCATTGTTCTGGAGACTGCTCCATTAAAGCTAACCTTGGCTTTCCTTCCTGTGAGGTAGTCTTCAACCCATTTCATGAGTCTCCCCTTGACACCCATACATGCAAGCTCGTCCAGGATCGTAATCCCCTGTGCTTCGTCAAAGGCTCTGTAACGGTTCTATTGTTACGTAAAGTATGGTGACAATAAACACAGACACTAAGATACTATATATATATTTGGTCGAATATACAGAAGTACACAGGTGATACTTTGGTGTGAGTTGAGCGCACTGAGAGTTGGTACAGTATCTCGCAAGTGTCTGCTCTAGACCACACTTGAAAGTAGACTCTGGTTAATGTTTGATTGATTAATAAAGATTAAGCCACCCAAAAGGTGGCACGGGCATGAATAGCCCGTAAGTGGTGGCCCTTTTGAGCCATTACCAGTATTAAGAGCTGATACTGGAGATCTGTGGAGGTGCGAATGCACCCTGCGTGACGGGAGATGTCTCCCTTGTGAATGTGTTAAGATGAAGATGAAGCCACCCAAAAGGTGGCACGGGCATGAATAGCTCGTAAGTGGTGGCCCTTTTGAGCCATTACCAGTATCAAGAGCTGATACTGGAGATCTGTGGAGGTGCGAATGCACCCTGCGTGACGGGAGATGTCTCCCTTGTGAATGTGTTAAGATGAAGATGAAGCCACCCAAAAGGTGGCACGGGCATGAATAGCTCGTAAGTGGTGGCCCTTTTGAGCCATCACCAGTATCAATAGATGATACTGGAGATCTGTGGAGGCGCGACTGCACCCTGCGTGACGAGAGATGTCTCCCGGACCAAGTGGTGACCAGATGGTGGTTAATGTTTGCTATTCTGCTGCTTATATGCTCGGGCAACACCTCACCGTGTTGCCCGGGCAACGCCTCACCTCATTCATCTCCAAAGGTTGACAGAGAGCTCCAAACATCATCTCCAAACAAAGCATTTGGAGCGAGTATATTATTGGGATAATCTACTCGCTACAACTCCTTTGATGTCAACAAATACAGAGTACCTAGCCGTGTCATTAGCCAGGTAATTAACTATACAATTTGCTGTGTTCCGTCCTTTAACAAATCAATTGACCCCCTCCCCTAACCTGCCTATTTTGTGGAACAGTCGGTTTAGGATGATCCTTTCAAGCATCTTGCAAGTGCATGACACGAGACTGATAGGTCTGTAATTACCAGGGTCATTGGGCTTCGGTATGGGAACAATTATTGCGTGTTTCCATTGTGTGGGCAACACTCCACTTAGGAATGACTTGTTAAACAGGTGGAGTAGTGGATTCCCAGACACTTCACACAGTGCATTGAGTATGTCGTAGGTGACGCCATCTTCACCAGGTGCAGTACTTTTACCCTTTTTCATAGCGCCCCTTACTTCTTGGGCTGTGATTGGTTCCCCATACTCGTCATCACTAGACAGTGCTCTTGTTATCCTAATTCTTCTGTCATCATGTCGCAGGAGCTGTTCCCTGCTGATTTCTGCAGGGAGGGAGGAGGAGGAGGCTGCATCACTCCACTTGTGAATTAGTTCTTCAGCCTTACCCTGAGGGTCTTTGTGAGAGATATGCACAAGTGGTGAAAACAGATCAGAAGTTGTAGTTCATTAATGTTGAAATTAAATCCACGAATATTTTATTATTTATTTATATATTTATATACTGTATATACAAGAAGGTACATTGGGTCTATTAGAGTACATAACATTGATGATTTTACATTCTTGCAAAGCCACTAATGTAGATGTAGATATATCAAATGTAGATATGATAGAGCCCAGTAGGCTTACGAATCTACAACAGTTGATTGACAGTTGAGAGGCGGGACCAAAGAGCCAGAGCTCAACCCCCACAAGCACAACTAGGTGAGTACTAACACAAATAGCATTTTGCACAGGTCCTTAATCTAACAGATAATTTAAAGGAGGTAATTTGTAGTAAAATTTTAAGAATATTAACAGGTGCATTTTGAAGAAAATTTGAAGAAAATTCATAGGTACATTGTAGTAAAATTTGAGGATTATCAACAGGTACATGGTAGCATTATTTGAGAATTACCAATAAGCACAGTGCAGTAAAATTTGCATTCAACATAACTACCATGATATAAATTGATAGCAGTGATTACAATGGTGAAGTTGCATGGCTTAAGCACATATATTGGGGGAGTGGATAGAAGGGACACAATTATGGTAGGTAGGAGGGAAGGGTGGAAATGCTGCTTGGTAATATTTGAGAAATACCTTCGACCTCAGAACATACAGGAGTGCAAGGAGAAGGGGAGCTGTTGGAGCTGTCTGGGTTTAAAGCTTGGAAACAGTTGTGGACCTGAGGAAGGGAAGAAGGGCGTGGAAGAGTGGTGTGACAACGCACATGTGTAAGTCATGTTAGAAAAAAAAGTACAGACAGGGGACCTGGTGCCTTGCCTCACAAAAATATATGCAATTGTGATGTTTTAAGTTGAGGATGGCTTGTTTTAATTTTGAGTGCATACATGTGCAGGAGACGGCAAGGTGGGCATCACCAGGATTAATGCAGTGAGCTTGGAGCAGGAGACGGCAAGGTGGGCATCACCAGGATTAACGCAGTGAGCTTGGAGCAGGAGACGGCAAGGTGGGCATCACCAGGATTAATGCAGTGAGCTTGGAGCAGGAGACGGCAAGGTGGGCATCACCAGGATTAACGCAGTGAGCTTGGAGCAGGAGACGGCAAGGTGGGCATCACCATGATTAACGCAGTGAGCTTGGAGCAGGAGACGGCAAGGTGGGCATCACCAGGATTAACGCAGTGAGCTTGGAGCAGGAGAAGGCAAGGTGCATGGGCATCACCAGGATTAACGCAGTGAGCTTGGAGCAGGAGACGGCAAGGTGGGCATCACCAGGATTAACGCAGTGAGCTTGGAGAAGGAGACGGCAAGGTGGGCATCACCATGATTAACGCAGTGAGCTTGGAGCAGGAGACGGCAAGGTGGGCATCACCAGGATTAACGCAGTGAGCTTGGAGCAGGAGAAGGCAAGGTGCATGGGCATCACCAGGATTAACGCAGTGAGCTTGGAGCAGGAGACGGCAAGGTGGGCATCACCAGGATTAACGCAGTGAGCTTGGAGCAGGAGACGGCAAGGTGGGCATCACCATGATTAACGCAGTGAGCTTGGAGCAGGAGACGGCAAGGTGGGCATCACCAGGATTAACGCAGTGAGCTTGGAAGAACAATAATCTGTCCATAAGATGGAATGGTTCTACTAACAAACTTTAACTTAATTATTCTAAGGGATTGGCGATGATGATTCACAAGGAGAGTCGAGTGAACGTGTAAACCCAGAGGATAGAATAATCTTAGGCCTTAAGGATATACAGTGGTCCCCTCTGTTTACGAATTTAATCCGTTCCCAGACGGCTCGTCACCTGAAAATTGGCAACCCGAAACAAATTTTCCCATGAGAAATAATGTAAATTCAATTAATCTATTCTACACTCCCAAAAATATTAACTTCAAAATACATTTCATACAGCATACACACACATATTGAGTACTATAGTATGTAAAAATTATTGCTTACCTTTATTTATCCTTTCCCTTAAAACCAAGTCTAGTGCCCTTGAGGAGATACCAACTTTAATTTACAAAAAAGCCTCCAGATCTTTAGCCCCTGCTATTGCATTGCTCTTCAACAAGTCACTTGAACTCCAAACCTTTCCAGATATTCTGAAAAAGCGAGAGTAACCCCTGTCCATAAATGTGGTGATCTCACAGATGTTAACAACTACAGACCTGTATCAATCCTGCCTAACTTGTCAAAAATATTTGAAAAACTAATCTACAAGCAGCTTTACTCTTATCTAGCCAAACACAATATACTTAGCTCTTGTCAATATGGCTTCAGACCCAAAAAAAGCACTAACAATGCACTTAGTATGATTAACTTGATTCATGCAGCACTTGATAAAAATGAGTTCCCTGTTGGGTTATTTGTGGACCTGCGTAAGGCTTTTGACACTGTCAACCACCAAAACCTTCTTCTTAAAATACATCATTATGGAGTCAGAGGACACTCCCAGCAATACTTCAAATCTTACCTTACTGACAGGCTCCAGTATGTTTTTGTGAATAATTCAATTTCTCCCACCCTACCCATCAACATCGGTGTTCCTCAGGGCAGCATACTTGGGCCTCTCCTCTTTCTCATCTACATTAATGACCTTCCAAATGCATCCCAACACCTCAAACCAATTCTATTTGCTGACGACACAACCTTCATTTACTCCAGTCCTGACCCCCTTGCTCTGAATGCCACAGTAAATACTGAGCTAAATAAAGTCCATCTTTGGCTAACTGCCAACAAACTCACCCTTAACATTGACAAAACTTTTTATATTCTGTTTGGCAATAAATCCTCTAATCAAATAAATCTCAAAATAAACAATACCCAAATTTGTAACAAATTAGATGGCAAATTCCTTGGCGTTCTCATTGACCACAAGCTGAATTTCCAGGGACACATTCTAAATATATAAAAAAAAGTTTCAAAAACTGTTGGCATTCTTTCTAAGATCAGATATTATGTACCCCGCCCTGCCCTGGTGACTCTCTATTACTCCCTCATCTATCCATATCTCAACTATGGTATTTGTGCTTGGAGTTCTACTACCCAAAATCATTTACGTCCTCTAATTACTCAACACAAAGCTGCTATTAGGACAATATCAAACTCTGGCCCCAGACATCACTCGGTACCCCTACTCAAATCTCTGAATATGTTAGGTATTAAGTCACTGCACATTCTCTCATGTGTATTATACATATATAAAACGCTGAACTGCAATGCCAGTCCTGACCTCAAAAGCTTCATTGAAGGTTGTAACTGAACCCATGAGCACCACACCAGAAATAAATACAGTTTTGATATTCCAAGAGTACGACTTAATCAAACTAGAAATGCTCGACAAATGAAGGGACCCAGAATGTGGAATGACCTTCCCAACCATGTTAAAGACTGTACCTCTCTCAACCAGTTTAAAAGAACAAGCGGCTCGGGGCGCTGACTGGATCAGCGGACCCAGTGGTGGTGGCAGCGGCTCTCCTACCCGCATTCCAAGCGAGAATGCGCCGGTGGGTAGACCCGACCACGGCCGCTGGAACGCCATCCAGCAGGACGACCGAGTGCGCTAGAAGATGGAAGGCAAAACTGTACAGCATGGTCGACGGCGCCGGCCTCGCTTCCTCTTGTGAGGTCCCATCCTGTCACAAGTGGGTTGCGTCCGGTACCCGTTTGCTAAGCGGAGGAGATTTTGCCCACGCCGTCCAAATTAGGGCAAACGCTGTAGCCACGCCGTCTAGGGCGGCTAGGGGTAGACCCGAGGCTTCTGGTCTCTGTGACGCTTGTCGGAAACCAGGAACCCTGGGCCACATATCCCAGGCCTGCCATAAGACACACGGGGCTCGGGTGAAACGTCACGACATCACCCGGTTCGTAGCTGGCCGATTGCGGCAAAGAGGCTTTGAGGTGGAGCGCGAGGTCCGTATACCAGATGGAGGGACCTTCTGCAAGCCAGATATTATAGCTTGCAAAGGTGATGAGGCCTTCATATTAGACACCCAGGTCTCAGCTGATAACTTCCCACTCTCCCGTCCACATCAGAGCAAGTGCGACAAATACGGCACCCCCGAGATCCTGCAGAAGGTCCGGGAGTATACCGGTAAGCCTACAGTATCCGCCTCCTCAATAACCCTTAATTGGAGAGGTGGATGGTGCAAGGAGAGTGCGCGTGGTCTACAAGGTATGGGTCTCACCAAGAGCGACCTCGAGATTTGCTCCGTGAAGGCCCTGACCTGGACATATTCTATATACAGAATATGGTCCAAGGCCACGTCAAGGGGCAGGCCTCCCTAGCCCCGGGATCACTGTGCACAGGGTGCATAAGGGTAACTATAGTCACGCTTAGGTGAACCGCAGCCAAGTCAGCTGGTAGCCAACTATCTAAGCAGTTTCGTCATCTGGAGTACCACTTCTCCTAATGGCGTCTCACAAGAGGGTGGATGACCTGGCAGAGCCCGCGAGTAGATAAGGCGGCGACCGGAGGGACCCCATGCGCATACATGATAACCCTCCCGCTCCGGGGCCTAGTTAGGAGCATCCACTGTATCTAGTTTTCCATGTATGCCGACGTCAAATCATCATCCCTGCCGATTGGGCAGCCTGCTGCTTTGGCCTTCAGCGTTTGTTTGTTCTTTTTTTAAATGTTATACTGTGCACCCCTACCTATGTGTGCTGTCTCCCATATAGAAAAAACCAACTACAAAAGAATTTTCCATTAATGTTTTTGTTTATTTTCAGGTTATTATTATGTATTATTAGTATCATCTTAACTCTTGTGGGTGTGATGAGATCTGCCATATATGTTTATTTTAGTTTGTGTGTGTTAGGGTATTAGGTATGCTTAGGGGTCCGTCTCGCCATGCCCTGTGGCTGGGGGGATCGGGCTCCGAAGCTACATAAAAACCCTATACCCCCCCGAAGTGGCAAGGGGAGTTACATAAGAACATAAGAACATAAGAACAAAGGTAACTGCAGAAGGCCTATTGGCCCATTCGATGCAGCTCCTATTCTATAACCACCCAATCCCACTCATATACTTGTCCAATCCGCGCTTGAAACAATCGAGGGACCCCACCTCCACCACGTTACGCGGCAATTGGTTCCACAAATCAACAACCCTGTTACTGAACCAGTATTTACCCAAGTCTTTCCTAAATCTAAACTTATCCAATTTATACCCATTGTTTCGTGTTCTGTCCTGTGTTGATACTTTTAATACCCTATTAATATCCCCCTTGTTATGTCCATTCACCCACTTGTAAACCTCTATCATGTCGCCCCTAACTCTTCGCCTTTCCAGTGAATGCAACTTAAGCTTTGTTAATCTTTCTTCATATGAAAGATTTCTAATTTGGGGAAGTCTAGTTAGGGGACAAAAAAAAAATAAAAACGAAGCACTACCTAATAAATTCCCTGTAACCTACCTTACCCCTCTGTTGTCAACCCATGTCTGTTTTTTTTTTTAAACAACGCCGTTTGTCGACCTAATTGTTATTTGTGCTGCTTTTTCAGCCATGTTCCCCCCTTTTTTGTCTTTATTTTTATTTGTTCTCAACACATTTTATTCTTTATACTCAATTAGTATTAATTTTTAGTCATTAATGTTTTTCCTGCCCGAAACGCTTTGCGTAATAGTGGCTTTAGGCATTGTATGTACTAGCTCTATCTATAAATCGATCAAATTTTGGAAAATCTCTTGTATGTATGTACCTTACCTGAATAAACATTTTATTTTATTTATTTTATTGATGACGTTTGTTAGCGTATGGAAGACAATTCAAATCAAATCAATCAAATCAAATCAAATAAATAAATTTATAATAAATAAATATGTTTATTCAGGTAAGGTACATACATACAAGTGATGTTACATTAATGGATCAATATATAGATAGAGCTAGTACATACAATGCCTAAAGCCACTATTACGCAATGCGTTTATTTAGGCATGTGTTTATTTTGTGTTGTGTTTATTTGTTTATTTTACAGTTGTTGTTATGAGCAATCTGAGAGCAGCAGTACACCGAGAACTTCAACAAGATCTTGTAGATCTGAGGCAAAGTGAAATTGACACCAGTAATTCCATCTATCATCATACTATCATGCAAGAGGAGCCACACATCTATGGATCATCCAATAAAATCAGCAGACTTCTAGATGTTACTACTGCTCGGCTTAGACTCGGTTACAAGTATCTCTGG